TTTCCTGCATGTTAACCACCATTAGGGCCACTCTACCTTGTCCCATATATTTTCAATTTTCATTCCTAATCTTATCTCTTGGTATGTCCGAAACATCTCAGCCTCATTTCCCGCTTAACCACCACTAGGGCCACTCCTACCTTGTCCCAAATATATTCATTTCTAATCTTATCTCTCCTGGAATGTCCGAACCATCTCAGCCTCATTTCCCGCATCTTAACCACCACAGTGGCCACTCCTACCTTGCCCCAAATATCTTCATTCCTAACCTTAGCTCTCCTAGTATGTCCGCACATCCATCTACTCAATATTTGGTTGCTAAAATGAGCTAGCATTTTAACCTTGCCAATGACAGAAAGATAAAGGTGCATTCTATGCCATAATGGTCTCCCTTCTGAAGGATAGTCTTTCAATTGGATCTACTCTCGTAGGTCGTTTCTCTACAGAGATTGATATCCCTCTTCCCTAAAGCATCTTTCTAATTCTCTTGCTTAACTTAGGCAAACCTTTCTCAAGGAGAGAAACTGACTAATTAAAATGCTAGTAAGGGGCGAGTGGTGATAACTAGGTCACCAAAGCATTTAACGTGGTATCTACATCTATAAGTCCTTGCAACATCACTTTCCAAGCTAATAGTTGGTTAGACTGTTAAAAAAACAATTGGCTTAGTTTGATGCAGGCTTACAAAACCTGGCCTTGAAAAGAGGAGACTTATAGTTTATATGCGCATATGCCCTAAACTCGAATATTTTATAATCAAAAAACATGGTTCAGGATATTTATGTGTAAGTTCTTCTACCAGAGCATACTTGTGTTTGCTAACCATAGGTAATAAGTTCCTTATTGCTTAAATAAGGTTTAGTTGGGGCCGATCATTTCTTAAAGAATCATTAGTTTGAATGCAAGATGCTTTGTGCTTCGAGTTGGCTTTTTGTTTTTTGTCTCCTAGAAACTTGACCAAACATGCTATTAGTCAGTTGATCACATGTGAGCAATTGCATTGGTTCTTTTTGTGCATGATCCTGTGGAGCTGAAATGGAAGCTTAATTTCATCATTGAACGTTTCTAGAACATGGTATTGTTAACCTGATTGAGTTGGCAATAGATGAGCTAGGTGGTTGATTCACTTGTAATGCGTATAATTATATATTACGTATTCTACTAATCTCATATGCTGTATGTATTTTTTTCTTTGGTAAGTAATCTCATGATATTTAACCTGTTACTTTTGTATGCAGGGCCGATATGAGATCATCTCATTGACAGGTTCTTTCATGCGGTCAGAAAATAATGGCAGCAGTGGACCAAGTGGTCTAAGTGTGTCACTGGCTGGGGCAGATGGTAGAGTAATGGGTGGTGGAGTTTCAGGAGTGCTTATGGCTGCCACACCAGTGCAGGTGCGCTCTATCTGCCTTTATACTCTTGCCCCTCTTGTTTGAGTTCAGGATGTGTCATTAAACTGTTTTAAATTCATGACCAGGTAATCGTGGGTAGCTTCCTTGCTGAAGGGAAAAAGCCAAAGTCTAAGGTGCCATCTTCGACACCACCATCCAATATGTTGAATTTTGGTGCTCCCGCCACAGGGGAGAGCCCCCTTTCTCAAGGTGATGCCTCAAGTGACTCGTCTGAGGAAAATGGCGACAGTCCTTTCCAACATGAATCAGGACCTTATGGTAATGCTGGCCAACCAATGCATGGTATGTCAATGTATGCAAATATGGGCTGGCCAAAATCGCTGTGAAAACACTTTTTCTTTGTCGACATGACGTTGCCAAGGGTATTTGACTTCCTCATTCCCCTTGCAACAGAGTTGGCAGTTGATTCGCAATGCTAACAGGCAGAGTATAGGCGTTTCTTGATTTCTCAAGTTGAGCTTATTTTCCTATTTTTTTCTCCCCTCTTTCCAGTATGTAGTTAAGGTAAAATGCATATGGCTGATTTACAGAAATCCATTTTCATGGTTTCTTTGGCACTATGGTTTTAGTAGTAGTATATGTTAGGTGATGTTTGGTTGAATATTATTTACTTCCAGATGGTTAAGATTTTTAACTTTTAGGAATTATTAGATTGGGTAGAAATTCTTCTAAATGAATGGAGTATTTTCTTCACTTGCCTTCTGGTTAGAAATAATCAATTATTTCCTTTTAACAATCATGATGAGTTATCAACAGGCCTGCCAATTATGATCAACTTGAACTCACGTTTATTGTGAAAATGCTGATGATTCCATCTTTATAACGTGCTTCCTCTCTTTATTGATGAATCATGAAGAAAGATTTTGTGCTTTTTACCTTTCATCTAACCAGATTGAGAGCCAATTATTAGGTTAAAGATCGAAATGTCTTTTTATTTTATGACCGCTACAACGTCTTTTAAGTTAAGAGTCTAACTATCTTTATTCTAAGTAACACTTGAGAAAGCACACGCTAAGCAGTTCTTTACCAAAGCCATGAAAGCTGTAGACGTGTTGTGGTCGTGGGGTTTGCAGTCCACCCACCCAATGGCCTACACCCTCTTTATCTTTGGTTCTATCAAAGACCCAACACACCTTAAGACATAGTAATACATAAATGTGTCATTTAATTTAGCTTTAGCTAACATTTATGTCCTTCATCTTTGGGAGTGCACAAGTAGACATTTTGATTTGTATAAAAGACACATGAGTCTTACATGACAAAACACACGTAGGACACAAAATTGTCATGTAGAATGAAAGTGTACTTGTGCACATCTAAGATTGTAGAGCATAAACGCCAACTAAAACCAAGTTAAATGACATATTTATGTATTATACCTATAGTTAAACTCTATCGATATATGACTCACTTCCTAGAAATATCACTAGTGTTTTACATAATTCATCGACTTTTAAAAAGCTAATTACACATGACTTTACTATCTCTAGATTTGTCTGCCTGTAAAGTTTCATAATATGCTACTAAGTTCAAATTACATTAGTTGTTACAACATAACTTAGAGCCTGTTTGGATTATGATTGAAAATATTAAACTTATAATAAATAGTTCGTTATTTCGACTAAAAAGTATTGATAAGAAAATTTTCTATTAATATGTCCTTAAAGTTATTTACAAAAAATTATACAATGAAAATGTAATCGAGAGAGAATTCGAAATTCTATGTTGGGAAGAAAATATTGAGAATTAGTAATGATATGAAAAATAAAACAATAAAATATTTGATCAAATTCCATGACTAATTAATATCTATAGCCAAATGTCTCATACAATAACTCCACATTTTATATCAGGATTATTTCCTTATCCCATCGATCAAACGACCTAGTGATGCTTTATTTACTCTACCTAAATCTGGTAATGTTTAGTTAGGATTTGACCGACCTATTTGGCATGTTAGTTGGCTGAAATTAAGTTGGAGTAGAAGGAAAATATGTGGAATTCAAACAAACTTGACCCATGAAATTAAGCTTATCCACTATTTTGTTATAATATATAGTTTTTCTCATTCTTTTTTTTGATACGGAATGCAACTCGAGTTTCTTCTAAGCAATAATTAGACTTCTTATAATTTAAGTCCAAAATTTCTAAAGGAGTACTTTTTACCATTTCTTTGGAAAATGACATATTTCCCACATAATGTTTTATAAGGTAAAAATGTTTCCTTTATAATTAGTTGCATATTATAATCCATGTTTACATTAATAATATATCCCCAATATAATTTTACAAGTTATATTTAGAAAAAGAGGTGTACATAACTTTACTCTTATCTTAAAAAAATAAAGAGAATATATCTGACACACTCAAATAAATTATAATCTATTTTTACATCATAATATTTATTCCTACCATAAAATAAAATATGGAAACATAAGATTTATCCAACATTTTTTTTTTAATTCTAATTTTTTTCATGTTGGACTTTATATATATGAATTTTGTAGAATAATCTTACTTTCCTCCTTTTACAAATTATTTTATTTTTATTTTATAATTTTGTTGGTGCCCCATCCATTCAACATGGAAGTCGGCTTTGTTTGTTAAACGCGCTTTGAAATAATTGATGTGAACTCTCTATTTCCAATTCCAACTGGCTCTTATACCCCATACACGTGTTTTAATGTAAGATAATAGTGATATTTCAAGTTAATGTGGATCCACCAATAAGGCTTTACTGAATGGTTGGAAAATTCCATCATTAATAAGAAGTCTCAAATTAAAATTTTAGAAATAAGGAAATTTTTAACAAATGAGTATTTTTCTTTATAAGATATTACATGATACGAATTTTAATTGACCGAGTAAACAAATACCACGTAACGATAATTACACACAAAATAGTGTAAGATAGGGACTATGACCAAGAGATATGATGTTACAATGAAGATTTTTCTTATTTTTTTTGGAATTTCTAGGAAAATGCGTAATCGCTATCCTTTAAATGTGTATTAGGTGAACTCGTTCATATGCAATAACTTGTCAAATTATATAGAAGATGTAAATCACACTTAGCAAGTTTGTTGTGATCATGAACTCGACCAAGGAACGTTATTGACAAAGACTCGAGGAGAATCAATCAATGACATCCCTTATGAGATACCACCTACTACGCCAATTTAGCCACCCTTACAGCGAGGTGGTTATAATTGAGATTCCTCCCCTTTAATCTGAGGTGACAAAATCAATCCTTAAGAACATATGAATAATTTTCCTTAGTGATTTTATCAAAAAATAAATCAAAATTAATCAGATTAGTAAATTCCGACTATCGAATTCCAAAATAATAAAAAGAGAAGATGGGGACCAAGTCACAAGGGCAAAAAAAAGTAGTAGTAGAATTGTCACCATATTATTTCACAAGTTTCATTGGACCTACCAATTTGTCTGTCTATCTGTCACCTTTCATATTCCTACCACTCATCATAAAGTAAAATTAAGGAAATTTTTCTTCTCACTCAAACGGCTCTCTTTCCACGAAAACAACCACTGAAAATTACACCAAACTATATCTTATACATAAATTAAAAAATGTCTATATATTCTTTGTTTTCATTTGCATATCTACACTAGCCGTTGGCTGGCCAATTCAATCTTTGCTACTCTCATCAAGAACTCTTCTTCCCTTTCTTTCATTTTATTACCAAAATACCCTCCAAAAAAAGGTAAAATTATCTCATACAAAATACATATATAAGTGGCCATTTTCTAGCAACATATTGTTTTTTGTGTGTTACAATTCATGGATTGCATAGTTTTGCCGGTAGCAATCTTGACAAGGCGATGCTCGGGGCGATTATTAGGGTATAGGCCACTAGTGGAAGATGGTTATGATGATTCAAGTTATCCGGTAACTGTGCTGGTGGGAAAGGAAAAAAGGGAATTCTTGGTGGAGTCATTTGTGTTGGAAGAAAGTCCATTTAGAAGTTTGATTGAAATGGTGAGAAAAGAAGGTACAGGAAAAGTAAAAGAAAATAGAGGGAAAAAAGTGATTTATGTGGATGTTGATGCTATATTATTTGAACACATGTTGTGGTTGATGCAAAATGATTGCTCTTCTTTGTTTCAACTAAATCTCGAGGAGATCATTGATTTCTATGCTCAAGATATATAGTTGAAAAGAAGAGACAATTGATTACTTATTAATCATTATGAAGGTAACAAGTTAAATAGGTAATATATATATATATATATATATATGAGTCTTTTTTTTTTTTTTTTACTTCTTCCTTTTACCCTTTGTGGTAGGAGCTTTTTTGGTCTTAATTAACACTTTTTATATTATGGGGTTGTACAAAAAAGAGTTTTAAAGGAAAAAGATACTATATGGATATGTAGAAATAATTGATACTTGGCAAAAGAGAATGTATACCAATTTTTAGCAATTAATTAATAGTTAGTATATACTTTAATTTCTCTTGTATGTAATTTCCATTTAATATAATGGTGTTTTTTTGGTATCACGTTCTTCGATCTGGTTGAATATTTATGCAAGTTTGATTTTAATTAAAAGCAGTACTTTATGTAAAATAAGTTAAGAAATTCTACAATATCTCAAAAATATGACTTCATAAAGTGGATAAGATTTAAGTAATTTGAGAAACTACTTCTTGCAAGACTACAATAAAAATCTAAATAAGTTGGATGACTATTTCTTTCTCATGGGCATCTTGATTAATTTTATAGCCCACAAAGTATTTGTTATTTCACACCAGATATCGAGTAACTTTATCGATCAATATTTTGACAGATAGAAAAAAAATCACCTAAATTTTTTTTACTCTATTAAAATTTAGACATGAAACCATTCCATTAATGACCATGGGTAATGTAGATCTTACTAATTTATACTTAGTTACTTACCACAAAAAAAAAGTTATATTACATTTAATTAATTGACTGTTAAGTTAATTAGATACAATATGTGAAATTACAATGTCTATGTCATTGTACTAGTTATATACTTATTAGTTAATTAAACTCTTACATTTTTATTGAATTAGTGATGCCTTAATTTGTTCATGTCCTTATAAACAAGTTAAAAATGTCAAGTTTACGTTGAATAAATCAAGAAAGCCGTCCAACTATGTAGTCAAAAGTTTGTAAGCACGTTAGGCTTTAATAATAGAGGCAGTCAACAACTAATTTTCCAAATAAGGTTTTTCCTTGCTATCCTTTCTTCTACTTGCCGACTTCTATTTTTATTTAGAACAATTGTTGTATGATTCATTCGAATTTACGCCACATAATTTGTATGTATTTATTGTAGAGGTAATAAAATTAGCCAATGAAAATCTAATTCAACTCTCTCAAATTTGAATTGGTTATTGATCCTCTCATTTATTAGCTTAGTTCATTTCAGCCAACTCACACGGCATAAGTATAATTACTGAAGGACAAAGACCAACCCATTTTAAGGATAATTCGTTTAATTTTTTCGATCAAAAGGTTACTTATTTTTGTGGAATGAATTTAGGAAAAATTACTTAAATACACAACACTTCTTTACCTATTCTCAATATTTCCCTACTCTTTTACTAAAATACAAAAATCCCTTATTTTCCCCCAATTCAACTTAACCGGATACTTTATTAGTTTAAGTATCCGCTCGTTATTAATTAAAGTATCCGCGCTGCTATATTATGCATCCGTCCGTTAATTAAGTATCTGTGTTGCTAACAACTTAATAATTTAAGTATCCGCCCGTTATTAATTAAAGTATTTGCGCTGCTATATTATGCATCCGCCCGTTAATTAAGTATCCGTGCTACTAACAACTTAATAATTTAAGTATCCGCGCTGCTATATTAAGTATCCACACTGCTATATTATGTATCCGAAAAACACTAAAAAGGGATTTTTGGTAATTAATGAAAGAGTAGGGAAAGAAAGTAATTTCTTTCTTATACTATGTCATTTGCCTAATTTTTACAATTTATGGGTCAGCCGGTGTAAGAAGCAGTTATATCTGTTGGGCTACTAATGTACAGATCCATATTCGAATCCCCAATAATCAAGCCCATTTCTTATGATGATCCAAACTCTAATTTGATTGGGCTACTTTTGTTAAGTAGTAGTATGCTTTTAGGGGAAATTATGTGGATAAGCAAATATATACTAATTAATTAGTTAACATAGTTATAGTTTGAATTAATTACCACTCACAATCTCTTTTTAGCTATAACTATGTGGGCCTCTCTCCTCTCTTCCTCTATCCCGCCTTTCTCCTCTCTTATACATATACAAATACAAATTATGCATATACAGATATACAAATACAATTCGCCTGTCTATACTCTCTACCCTCTCTCGCTTGCCTCTCTCTCCTCCAGCCTCAATCTCGCTCGCATTTCTTCTCCCTCTCCCGATCTCGCTCGTCAGATATACAAATACATATGTTACCAATTATAGATATACAATTATCTGACATATATACAAATACAATTCACCTCTCTCCACTCTTCGCCCTCTCTCGATCGCCTCTCTCCTCACTCTAACATGTAGCTACAAATCATAATTAGCAAACTATAGTTGTGAAGCATAATTGAGTTATTTTTAGTGGCTATTTGCGAAATGTCCTCCTTTTAATCAATGAGAGATAATTAACATACAATAATTGCCTCATGTGTTCAAGTCTAATAATTAATTCAACTATAGTTTAATTCAATTTTGGTTGGTTAGCTTAAACAATAAAAACTTGGTAATTTATGATATATGTGTTTAACAACTCATGTTAAGTTAACTTCCCCATAGTATACCTCTTCCCCAAATATAGTCCAAGATGATAGTCCGTTAGGCCAAATTTTAGGAAGCTAAATCGGTTTATATTATAAAATTAAGGTATTAGATCAAGCTTTTAGTGAAAAAAATAAATAATTTTGTGTAGTATCAGAAATTTTGATATTCAACTTCTTTTGCAATTCATCTGTACTTTTGGTGATTTTTTTAAACACATACATAATCGGAGCTAAAACTATTGAAGTCCAAGATGAACTCATGATAAATATCTATATTGTGCATCTAGATATAGTATACTTAGAATTATGTATATTTCATTTTAAAAGATAAAATTATAAAATCTAAACTCAATTAAAGCCTAAAATAAAGCAGCCATAACTTTCTATGCAATTATCTGCCTCATAAAATAACATGGACTTTTCAATTTCTAAAAACAATGATCCCACCAAGAATCTGAACATTATAAGCACGACTAAAGAAGTTATTTAAAACTAAAAGTATATTTTGCTTTAAGGAATCTTACTTCTGATGTTTAGGGAATTTATTTAATTAATTAAGTGCATTAAGGATCTTGCCATTTTCCTTTAAATCAATGTCTTCACTTCGTATCGTACGTACAATTTTAAATAGAGAGAATAAAGTAAAGTAGAATTCGTAGATCTTCTTTAGCAGGAAATAATTTTTTAGTTATAATTTAATCATTCACTTTAATAAATAGTGATTATTATAGTACATATATAAAAGGAATAGAATGAGCATATGCCGGTCTAATGGTAATGGTTATGGTGAAGTGAACATACGGTTTAGATAACGTATTTCAGAGAGATAGATTCAAAATTTAAAATTGATAGATTTTCATAATAATAATAATCATATTCACAGTTAAAAATATTTCTAGATGTTTTAATGGTCACAATAAATGATCAACCCAACCTCTATATCCACCACAACAAACACCAGAAAAAAAAAAGCAAGATTAATGTTTAATTAATTTGTATAAAATATAGTTTTTTATATATGAAGAACCAATTTGTTAGTTAAGGTAGGGGCACCATCACTTATTTAATTCTAGCAACTAGAATAACATAAAAAATAGCTTTAGTATGTCGCACAATTAGTGGTGGCAAATGGATGGGTTGGGTCAAATTTGGGCGGGTTGAAAGTGGGTTAACATAAAATGGGTAATAATTCAACCCATTCATATTTGATATGGGTAAAAATACTAGTTTACCCATATTTTAATGAGTAAATAGTACTCTACTTAAGAATTCAACATGGAGAAAATATTTTAGTCTTTTTTTAGATGAAAAATGTTGAAAATGCTTTATTTAGTTTTATTGTATCATAAAAGTAAAAAAAAAAATCCTATAACTTTTCAATATAAAATAAATTTATGTAATAACAAGGGGAACATATTTTTAATTTCAAAGCAAATGAATATTTGCATTTTAGAACTAAAACATGGTTAATGCACTTTAAGCAATGTCAATACTAGTACATGATTTGCTTATTTTACACTATTATTTATTATCCAATATAAAATTAAACAAATAAAAATATATAATTATAATTAACAAAAGAAATGTACATTTAAAATATATATTTTTGGAGGGCCAAAGACTTCAACTTTTCAATTATAGAGAAAAATAATTAGTTTTATAGAAGAGCATAAAAAGGAAGAGAAGTTACAATATTTTTGGTGATATCATGAATTTGAGTGAATAAAAGTTAGAAGCTTAACTCATTTGGCTAATCTAAATTTTACCCATATTTTTATGGGTTGAATATGGATATCAACCCATATTTTACACATGTAAAAAGTCACTCACCCAACCCACTAAAATATGGACGGGTTACCAAAATATGGGCTCATTTTGCCGGCACTACGCACAATTAATGAGGAAAAAAATTAAGATTAGAATGGTTTTGATGAAATCATGCCACAAATTTTGGATTGGATTGTTTTTTACCAAAGTACTTTACTTTAGCAAAGATATATCATAATCAGTCTTTTACCTACACAAGATAGACGCAAGACTGGTTACTAACCACAATCAATCTTTTTACCTTCACAAAATAGACGCAAGACTAGGTACTAACCACACTCCCCCGACCTCACTTGTACAAGTAGAATATCATGATTAACAATATGTCTAGTATTTCTTAGTTGATGTATGATAATGACTTATTATGAAGAAAAATTGAGATTTTTCTGACATTTTGGTACCATGATAAGATAGAAAGCTAAAGTGCATCAATCATCAGAGATTTTAAGTCAAAGTGTGACCTTGCAGTTCAAAATTATTTGTTGACACATATTGTCTCATCTCACTATATATATATGTGTGTCAGAAATCAAAGATTTGAAGCAGAATGAAGGACAAATTAAATGAAAATTTCATTGTCATGACTTTCTCTTGGAACTAAGAAATACTAGACATATTGTTAAGAAAACAAATGACAATTTTTATCAGATATTTGAAATTAAGAAATATTTAATCACCGAGCACCTAATATATCAAGATTAATAATAATGGTCTTTTACTACATTTAAAACTTTGGGTAGTGTATGGGGGGAAGATCGGATCTAGTGAAAATAGAGCCTTGAATGTCTGTTCGCGTAGGACTGACAAATGACCAGGCATATGATAAAGGCTTCACCCCGGAATACTGCCATATAACTAGATTAAGCCATCATAATGACCCTCGGGGTCTCAACAGTCAATATCGAGCCATGTCCACCTACTTCAATCGATCTGAATTAAGAGTTTGAGGGTTCTAAAAAGAATTACTTTTTTTTTTTGTTGAAAGTTCTAGTATGAAAAACATTTCTTTGATACCTTCCTTAACATGTTAGAACAAACCAAACCAAACTTGATCAAGAACACATTCCAGAAATGGAATAATGAAGAATTTTATGAACAAATAATCCTACTTTATACTTCATAAGGTCATTTGAAAAACACCAAGATTTAACACAGAGGTCTCGAATTTTTCCTTTTTAAAATAATTTCTTTTTAGTGTTACATTTGAAAGACATGTATACTGTGTAAATATGTAACTCTCTTACAGTTCAATTCAAAATGCTAGTAATTCTTAAAAAGATTATAAGTACTGAGGAGAGAAACATTGTTTTCAGTAATGACCAGTGGGATCAAATTCCCAAAAAATAATTAGTACATCAAGAAATTCAGCTCAAACATTAATGCAAGAATGTTTAAAAAAAAGAAGAAGGCATGTTACTTCTAGTGTAATATAATTCCCAGACACCTTTCATCCAACAAGAAGAATCTCAGTATATATATGGCATTCCCTTTTTAATTTAATATTTTATTAGCATACGTATTATTTTTTAATAATTGTGACAATGTTCAATCATATAGATAGTGAAGAAAAATCAACAAATAAAAATAAAAATATACCACTATATTACTTATATAATTAAGAAAACAAAGGCATATAATATAAATATTATAACAACTACGCCGTTTTTTTCCTTGAGAATTAAACAAAGATGGATCAAAATATTGATTTCCCAAACCATATTTCTTTAAAGAAAGTTCTCCATAAAGAACATTAATTAAGATGACAAATTTCAGAATTCATAGAGTTACAAGACCCCAAAATAACATACAAGACAAAAGAAAAAAAAAAAAAAAAACTCAAAATCTCTAGAACAAAGATGGTACACTAATTCCAAAAAAAAAAGAGATGGTACACTAATTTTGCTGACCTTTTTGATTCAAGAATCCCCATATTTCATCATTGATCCAAATTAGCTTCCATTTCATATCATCAGTATGAACAAGCTCGAATTCTATTTCCCTTTTCAAGATTTGCACTAAACTCCAAAAGGTGGGCGAAGACCTGGATTCCCCACCCACCCATCAACAGAAGCAGATCCAGGATTTAAACAGTTAGGCATATTTAACGGTAGATTAAAAAATGGAAGCCCAGGATTAGACGGGTCCGGAAAAGGGTTATTATTAACAACCCCATCACCACCACCACCATCGGAGCCTTGTGTATTACCATCTTCCTCTAAAGGCAATCTTTCATAAGCAACATTAGTAAAAGATGAAGCTATAACAATAACTGGTCCAGCAGCCATCAACTCACCTACCACACTTCCTCCAACAACTTGTCCTTGTCCACCAGCCAAAAATATAGTCAAACTTGTTGCCCCTGGTGGTGCTGGTGGTGGTAAAAACGAACCACTAAGTGACAAAATCTCGAATCGACCATTTAATGTAACGACCGATGAAGAACTAATATTACCAGTATTATTATTATTACCAGTACTTGTTGGTTGCCTTATACTTACATTAGTAACAATTCCACTTCCACTTAATATACAGATCCCACGTTGTCTTCGTCTAGCATACGATGATATACATTCAAATACATCACATCCATTACCAATTTCAAGAATATGTGCCCGTAACGTATTCGCACTTTCCCTAGTGATAATAACCGGAGGCTTCGGTTTATTTTTGGACCCTGGAGGGCGACCCCTTGGTCTACGACCAACTAGGTCGCCCGGTCCAGATGAATTTGCACCTACTAGATCAAACTGGTTGTGGTTGATATGGTCATTTGAAAATGGATTGTTTTTTGTATTTTCATCGTTTTCGGGTTGTAGTTGGAGATTAAATTCAGGGTGATGAAGTTGATGAACGTAACGAGATGCACTACTTAAATCTAGACCAGCCATAATGACCATAGAAAGAAAAAAAATAAAAAAATATGTTGGTGTGTGGGGGGGAAAGATTTATAAAAAAAATAAGAGTAAAAAAAAGAATATCGAAAGAGGAGAAGAGTGGAACCCTAGATTTGAGAAAAGAAAGAGGTGGTGGGAGGATTTGGTTGAGTGATAAGAGAAAGAAGGAAGAGAGGAAGACAATGAACAAATGCAGTCTTTCTTTCTCTCACCCCTAAAATGTTTTAAATATATGTATAAAAAAATGATGGTGCTTAAAATTATATTTTTAATCAACAATAAACTATTACTACTACCTGATGAGTTCCAAATTATAGTGGGAATAATAATATATTCAATGTAATTGCACAATTGGAGTTTAGGAAAGATGATATGTGTGTAACCTTCATTTTACCTTGTAAAAATAGAGATGATATTCAGATAGATTGTTTTCGATAAATTTTTGAGATTTGTAGCATAAAACATGTCAAGATATTCCTGTTATTGAAAAATTATGTCATTTAGGGTATATAAAAAAAATGAAAGTTAAAATTTTTTCTACATGTAAATTGTATACATCAGTACAAATGATACTATTCCGACCAACTTGGGTTGTGGTGTATTGGTGGGAGTGTTTCACCCTTAACTAGAGGTCTCGGATTCGACCCCCTGGGTATGGAGAAAATCTTGTTGAGAACGTCATCCCTGAATGGGCCCTGCAGTGCGTGATCCGGATTTAATCGGGACTCTAATGTGGGCTCCGAACACCAAATGGGAAATCAAAAAAAGAAAGAAGATAATATTCCTATAAAATGTTGTCGGTTTTTTCTTACTTATTGATGTTTAATAAGTAAACAAAAGGTATCATCTGAGAAACAACCCAACATGAGAAAGTCAATTTCTACACTTTTTAAGGAATTTATTTTTTTAGAAAGTATATTTTTTATGTTTCAATCAATCAAATATGAAAAAATTTAAAATTATCTACAGAAAAATATCCTTCATTTTTAATAGATTAAAAGAAAGTGTCTCGTGAAAGGTGATTGAGAGTAATTTTTATTTCTTGGGTTTGAGGAAGAAACATAATTAGTTGGTAATTTTTTTCTTCTTCTTATTAGTAGTTGGTAAATTGTTGGTGCTCGAAGTATGTATTAGAGCCTTGATTATATTCTGATCGCGCACTGCAAGGCCTATCTAGGGATAGGGTTCTCAACATGATTTTCTCCAAACCTAAATCTCAAATTCGAGACCTCTGATTATAGATGAAGCATCCCATCACTTGGTTAGTTGGTAAATTAAACTTGCACCTAAGCGCGTTTGAAAATAGAGACAAGATTTTGACAATGAATTACGCTGGAGGACAAGTGGATCCTTGTATTAACAGCGACTTTGTGCAACGTCATTATATCTTCTCTTAAACAATCTTAAAAATAGTTATATTCATTGTAATTTTATACGTAAAATTTGAAAAGGATAAAATGTAAACAAATTTTATTTCTACCTCGTAGAATAGAATGATTATTCTTTTTGATAATAAAATAATACGATACTCGAAACAGACGTAGAAAGACAAAAAGTGGAAAGATTATGAAAGTGGTTATAATATAATTTTTGTGAAAGAAGAACAAAGCATAGTCGTGTAATGTAAGAAAACATATATATATTGTACTATCTTATCCTTAATTTGTTGATTCTTATTTTTCCAAAGAACGTAAGAAATTGTGTTATTCCTTTCTTTGTTGGTAACTTGTTCTATTTTTTCCCTTTTTTTGGTTGAGAATCCATCGAAGATTTTCTAGAGGTATAGAAGATGTGGATGTCGGGAAAATTCTTTTTTATGATGAGAGTGTTCGAATTAATTTGTACACATTTTAGTTATTAAATCAAATAATTATTACTTTCATAATAAAGGATATATGAGTTTTAAATAACAAAATTAGGGGTATATTAAATTCTTTTCTCTACTAAAAATAGATATTTATTTTCACTTCTCTTATTTGAAAATTTAAGAGATAGTTTATCATTTAATTCCTAAGTTACTCTTATTATTAGCTATAATCATTTCTCATTACATTTTTTAAAATATTCAATTTATTATATTCAATTAAAGATATAGTAAAATTATTGTTCTAGTATTTATTACTCTGGATAAATAAAAATGGACATGAAAATACTTTTTAGGAAGCCTATGATTTGGAAATTTAAAGCAAGTTGAATTAAAGGCACGTGAGCGGTACTACCTCCGTTCACTTTTAATTGTTATGATTTCCATTTTTTGAGTCGATCTATAAGAATTTTGGTTAATATTTTACGATATATTTTTTTATCATATAAATATGCGAAAAATTACAATTTTTAGTATTTTTCGTATAATTTTTGTATATATATATTTTTTTATTTAAAATATCAAATTAGTGTAATCTAATTTAATTTTGAAAATTAATCAAATTGACTTTCGAAAAATACAACATGACAAATAAAAATGGACGGATAGAGAGTATGATGCATTTATTTTAGTTGTAAATGAAACCTAAAGTAATTATTAATTAGCATATGTGTGGTTAGGGTTTAACAAGAAGTTAATCATGGTTAAGGAGAACAAAGTTGACCAGATTTAAATGCAAAGCTGACAGAAAACGTGAAATGAGTGGGACCCAGTTTTCATTAAATAATTAATTAAAATAATAATTTGTCTAAATTAATTTAAATTAAATTTTAATGGCAAGTGGGAGATGGGTGCAGCGGCTGGTGGGTCCTACTTTTGTCCTTATCCAACACTCTGGCCGGCCATCTTTCTTAATTTTGGCTTTTAATTAAACTAATTAATTAATTAAAATTTTAATCACCAAACATTTAACCCTAATCTTATGCCTTGTTTGCCTCTCCTAAATTTTCAACACACTCTTTGTAAAGTGGATAATATATTTTTTAAGAAATACTGTTACAAGTTATAACAAATTAAATTAAAAAAATTAAAGGTATTCAACTTAATTTTTAATTGGTATATGTTAATAAAATATAGATAAATGTAAAATAAATATTTTTCGGACGGAAAACTAACTATTTATTATTCCCAAATTCAATATTATTATTTGATTCTTGTAATCATGAGTTCTTTTCTTTAATATTATTCTTTAATTATAATAGTATTGTCCATTAATTTTTTAATTGATTAAATAATTACATAACGATAACGTTTCAGAATTTGGAGTGATAAGATGAATAACATCTTATCTTACGCAAAGATATGCCATCTTTGTCCCTTTTTTTGGGATTAATAAGTTGGCCTAAAATAGCTACCACTTAGTTAAATTTTTAAATCAGTGATAGATTTATTTACCCAATATTAGTTTTCTATGGTTCAACTTCTATATGGTCTTGATTTGGACACTTGAAGTAGAATAAAGCGGTAGTTAATGAAGTTTCTCATACACTTCAATTTGTATGTGTCATCCTTTCGCAGGGGCCATACTAATCTTCTCTGTATCATTCCAATTTTATCGGATATCCCCCAAGGGACAATTTCTCATACACTCTAGTTTCTTATATATATAAAAAAACTAATAGATTTTCTTATATATATAAAAATCTAATAGATTTTAAACTCAAACGGTGACACATTGAAATATGGTTTGAGAGTAAGTAATGGTCCTGATCAATTTCGATATACGTCTTATTTATAAATTATGATTTGCTTATTTGGCAGTATTATATAAGATTTGAAGATGTATTTTTAATAATTTTTATAAATTATGAAATTTCTATATGTATGATAAAAATTACAAGTTCAAACAAAATTTCAAAATTTAAAATCAATATAGTTTCAAATAAATCATATCCAAATATAACGCTAAATAAGATGATCACACGTTTCAATACACATGATCTCACCAAAAATAATTTTAGAAAAGGGAAAAGAACAACCTGTAAGCATATTGCAATGTTGGAGTCTTAACTCTTAAGTGGACTGAATTATGTTTTTTTGTTTGTTTAAGCCTTTACTAGGTCTAAAGTTGAATGTGAACAACTAGCCATATGAACCCATTATGGAACTAAAAAAAAGGTTCTGTCATAATAGGAGGCAAACTTAGGTTTCATGTATGATAGTAATTGATATCTATATTTTTTCAATTTTGGGCGTGCATATAAATAGGTATATAAAGTATCGAAACGTTTCAATAAGAGTGTTGACCATTTTTGTTACATAAAGAAATTAAAATTGATGAAGTTTTCTGATTCATTTGATATTGCCCTACTATTGAATCCTTTGACAATTACTACTTAAAATAATACATGAATTGTTTGTTGTCCCACCTGTCTGTATTATGAGTACTTCTGTTTCTCACTCATGTTGTTTTTATATTAATCGATGAAGTCAAACATGTCCAAATATTCCATGCTTTGACACACTCCCAAGACCTTCATAGATTTATTTAAGCAAAATTAGATATAGAGTTCATACATATATATAACAATAGTAATAGAAATAGAAGGAAAAGCTAGAATTATTTACAAACAAGTTCATCTACTCTTGGTTTGTGAGTTGTTCCTGTAGGTTACCTCAAAATGCTCACTTGAAAGATAGAGAATATTGTGATAGAGATGATGAATTTCCCTGGGATATCCAAAAAAAATAAAAATAAAAATCATCTACTCAACTTGGCCAGCTAACTCCTTTTATATAATATTATTATACCACCAGTATCATATATAATGATAAGAACGGCTATTTGTACACTTCGATAATTAGCAAGTTGTAGGTTTAACACATGTTTTTTAATTTTTTTATATTCGGTTCGTTAGTTAGAATTGTAAAAAATATTTTCTTTACGAAAATAAATTGCTTAAAAATGAAAAAAATGATTTCTTTTTAATAAAAGGAGGTAAAACTAATTTCACAATGATATTTCAAATTATTATGTCCTTTCTACACTTGAACATGGATTACTCAATCAAGCCAATGTAAGAAATGAAAAAAAAACGTGTTGTAGAAATTTTTTAAACTTGGATTTTTCTCTCTCTAT